GGGACACGGAGGGGCCGTGGGGGGACACGGAGGGACACGCAGAGGGGACACAGGGATACACAGGGGCCCGGGGGACACAGAGGGGACACACAGAGGGGACACGGGGACGCACCGAGGGGACACATTGAGGGGACACGCAGGGGCCCTGGGGACACATAGGGACATGCAGCAGGAACAAGGGGACCTGGGGCCACACTGAGGGGACACATTTAGGGGCCAAGGGGTGGTGGGGACACACAGAAGGGACAAGGTGACGCGGGGCCATGCCGAGGGGCCGAGGTGACGTGGGGACACACTGAGGTGACACAGGGACATGGGGCCACACCGAGGGGCCGCAGGGATGTGGGGCCACACCGAGGGGACGTGCAGGGGCCCTGGGGACACATAGGGACATGCAGAAGGAACAAGGGGACCTGGGGCCACACCGAGGGGACAAGGGGCCATGGGGACACACAGAGGGGACACACTGTGGGGCCAAGAGGCTGTGGGGACACACAGAGGGGACAAGGTGACGTGGGGACACACCGAGGGGACACATTTAGGGGCCAAGGGGTGGTGGGGACACACAGAAGGGACAAGGGGCCATGGGGACACACCGAGGGGACACATTGAGGGGCCAAGGGGCGGTGGGGACACACAGAAGGGACAAGGGGCCATGGGGACACACCGAGGGGACACATTGACGGGCCAAGGGGCAGTGGGGACACACCGAGGGGACACACAGCAGGGCCGAGGTGACGTGGGGACGGACACATTGACGGGCCAAGGGGCAGTGGGGACCCACCGAGGGGACACACAGCAGGGCCGAGGTGACGTGGGGACACGCCGAGGGGACACACTGTGGGGCCATGGGGCGGTGGGGCCACGCCGAGGGGACACACAGAGGGGCCGAGGTGACACGGGGACACACTGAGGGGACACACCGCGGGGCCAAGGGGCGGTGGGGACACACAGAAGGGACAAGGTGATGCAGGGCCACGCCGAGGGGACACATTTAGGGGCCAAGGGGCGGTGGGGACACACGGTGGGGACACACAGCAGGGCCGAGGTGATGTGGGGCCACACCGCGGGGCCAAGAGGCTGTGGGGACACACAGAAGGGACAAGGGGCCATGGGGACACACTGAAGGGACACACAGCAGGGCCGAGGTGACGCGGGGCCACGC